TTGATACATGGTTTTAATTCAGATGTCTCTCTGTTAAGTCTCTGGCCTGTTGACCTATCTAATGGAGATAGTGGTTTATTGAACTCCCCTACTATTAATGAGTTGGGGTTAATTTGCGTCTTGAAGTCCTGTAGTATTGTTTTTATGAAGTTGGGTGTACCAGAGTTTGGTGAATATATGTTCATGATTGTAATATCTTCTTGATATTGATGTGTGTCTGTATGCAGTTTGAAAGTACCTTGAGAATTTTTGCATCTATGTTCATTACGGATATGGGTCTATAGCTTTCTTTTTTTGGTTTTATCTTTACTTGGCTTTGGTATTAGATTGATGCTGGCTTCATAGAAGGAATTTGTTCTCCCTCCATTTCTATCTTTTTGAATAATTTAAGTAGTATTGGATGTAGATCTTCTTTAAATGTCTGATAGAATTCTGCTGTAAATCCATCTGTTCCTGAGCTTTTTTTATTCGGGAGGTTTTGTATTGCTGTTTCAAGTTCTTTTTGTGATATGGGTCTGTTTAAGCTGTTAATCTCTTCTTGGTTTAGTTTTGGTGGTTCCCATGCCTTTAGATATGCATCCATTTCTTTTAGGTTTTCAAATTTAGTAGCATATAGGTTTTTAAAGTATTCCCTTATAATGTTCTGTATCTTTCTGGTGTCTGTTGAAATGTTTCCCCTTTCATCTCTGATTTTGTTAATTTGGAGGTGATGCTCTTTCTTTCTTTTCGTTAATTGGGCTAGCTTTCTGTCAATCTTGTTTATCTTTTCAAAAGAACCAGCCTTTGAATTCATTGATTCTTTGTATTGTTTTCTTTGTTTCAATGTCACTAATTTCTGCCCTGATTTTTGTTATTTCTTCTTGTCTGCTGGGTTTGGGTTTTGTTTTCTGTTGCTTTTCAAGTGTCTTGAGTGGCAAAGTTAAGTCATTTATTTGTGTTCTTTCTGATTTTTTAAGTTTATTTTGTTTTTAATTGTGTGTGTGTATGTGTGTGTGTGTGTGTGTGTGTGTGTGTGTGTGAGATGTTGTATTTGCACATGGGTATGCACACATAAGTATAATGCCTGTGGAGGCCAGAAGGGGGAACCTGATTCATTGGAGCTGGAGTTGTACATAACTCTGAGCTGCCTGAACTGCGTGCTGGGAACTGAACTTAGAGGTCCTCTGCAAGAGCAGCAACTATTCTTAATCACTGAGCCATCTCTCCAGCTGCTTTCTAGTTTTTATAACTGCGTTTTTTTTTTTTTTTTTAATCTTTCTGAGACAGGGTCTCCCTCTAGCCCCAGCTGGGCTGAAACTCGCTATGTAGACCAGACTGGTCTCGATCTCATAGACATCTGCCTGCTTCTGCCTCCTGAGTGCTGGGATTAAAGGCTTGTGTAACCATGGCTGGCTCCCTTTTTCGTTCTAGAAACTGTTCTTCTCCCTTCAAGTTAAGGATGGCAAAATGATACAGTTAGTAGGTTGCTATTCACACCATTGTGTATAGCCCATTTATATAGCATTTCCAACTCATTACAGATCATTAATCAACATATCAGTAATTGTGTTAGCCATCAGCCACAAGCCAATCTTCACTTGTGTCATGATGCCTTTTCAGATTCTGCCTTCCTAACACAAATCTGATATTTCTGTTCTAGGAAGTTTTTACAACCATGGATCACTTCAAATGCTACAACCACATTTGGCAAAAAGAGAAAGAAGAAACCATTATGACATTTATTGTGAAAAACCCTTTGCTTTCTGAATTTGAGTCCCAGATTCTTTATTTCCAAAGCCTGGAGCGAGAAATTAATGCTGAGCCTGAGTATATCTGTGTGGGTTCCATTGCTTTGTACACAGGTTGGTTCAGTGTTTTTCAGACAGTCATGTAAATTCAACAGCATTCCTCTGTCTCTTTGTCTAGATTAGTATTCTGGAGAGTTCTGGCTATCTTAAAGATTGATTTTCCTTTTATGGGCCTCAAGCCTTCAGACCAGTTTGTAGATTTGTTTTCTAATTCCCTTCTGCATAGTTATTTCTTCTGGCCTATCTTAAACATTCTGTCACTAAACTTTGAAAATAAAGGCTAATACAGAGAAAAAGGCTGAGTCTTTTATAGTTAGAAGTAGGATTTAGCCTTTCTTTAGTAAGTAACAATAGTAAACCCTAGGCTTATCTTAGGGGATATAAGGAATCCTGTTCTTACCCTGCTCTGTCCATAACCATCTTATACCCTTGAGGCATAATCTTTCACTGAACCTGGAGCTTGCTGTTTTTTGGCTAGGCGGATGGCCAACAAATACCAGTGATCTGTTCCTTTTCCCATGGCATTGGGGTTACAGGCATTCACAGCTACACATGGATTTCGCATGAGTGTTGGGGATCTGAATTCAGGTCCTCATACTTGTATAAAGGTGTTCTTACCCACTGAAGCATCTACAAAGAGGAGGGTCAACTACAAAGGAAGTTTTATTCTAATCTTAGATGGCTATAAGCTGAAATTATTTCCTATGTGTGTACAAAAGCTCTATGTCTTTTCATTGATTCAAGTTTCTCATACTGACCTGCGGGTATTTTGCTTTTCCAGCTGACTTGAAGTTTGCCCTGAATGCTGAGACAAAAGCCTGGATGGTTGTCATCGGCCGCCACTGTAACAAAAAATTCAGGAGTGAGATGGAAAACATTTTTGTACTTGTTGAAGAACTCCAGAAGAAACTGAACCGTCCAATTAAAGACCTAGATGATATTCGGATTGCGATGGTGGCCCTGAAAGAAATAAGGGAGCATCAGATCTTGACTGACTTCCAAGTGGGACCTATTGAGGTAGATGGGCAACTTGTCAGATACAGATATATTTTCACATGTTGGATGGCATAATTGAAGTATTGACTAGGTCTGTGCTTGAATGAGAAATGGGTGCTAAGCCTAATAGTGTGATTTCAGTAACGAGGATGCCTAAGCTTCATACATAGCCCTTCTGGGTCTAGTTGCCCTCCCTTATGTGCCATCCTTAAGAGCAAGGCTCATGATGAGGGTTTTTGGTCAAATTATTTACTATGAGTGTTCACGGGGAAAAAGGAGTGATGGAAACAGGAAAGGACAGTGGAGAAAAGCTAAGTGAGGCTGGGACTCAGCTGTGGACTCGTTTCAGCCTGATGCCATGGGGGACTCTACAGAACAAATTGTATCATATAGTTGATTCCACCTGGAGGCAAGAGAGATTACTCTTTGTGTCACCAAGGTAGTGGGTCATTAACTATAATTTCCCTGTGAAGGGGCTACCATCCAGTCAGAGGAAGTAGCAGTTGTTGCTAAAAATCAACACTCAGCAGGTGGGGGTGGTAATCACAGATGACCAGCAGAGTCTGGATATGTGCTAACAGCCTAACAGCGTCCACCCATGCACACACACTCATTCTATCTGTACTGTAGCCCCATGTTCCACACTAGGAAACAGGGCAAATAAGTCATATGGTTTAATTAGTATTGCATCACTTTGTGGTGTGTGTGTGTGTATAGTATGCTTGTGTGCAAGTGTGTGCTTGCTTGTGTGGGTACGTAGGGAGGCCAGAAGTTGATGGAGGTCCTCAATCACTTTATTTTTTAAGACGTGGTTTGTTATTGAACCTGATGCTCACCATTTCAGCTCTACTTTCTCACCAGTGTACCTGGGATTCGCCTGTCTTTCACTCCAGTACGGGGGTTATAGTTGGAGTACCACTGTGCTTGCCTTTTATGTGGATGCTTGGGATCCAAACCTGTGTCCTCATGCTTGCACAGCAAGCGTGTCTACTTTTGTTTTTATACCACATCATGCTGTCTTTTCCAGACGAAAAATTTTTATCAGGTCTTACTATTTTAAATGTATCAGTATAACTACAGCATTAAAAATGCAGAAACAGGGCTGGAGAGCTGCCTCAGCAGATAAGAGCACTAGCTGCTCTTGCAGAGGACTGGGTTTGGTTCACAGCACCCACATGATGCTAACAACCATTCATAACTCCAGTTCCAGGGGATTTGATGCCCTCTTCTGGCCTCTGCAGGCATTGTATGCATATGATGCACTTGCATACATGTAGGCAAAATAGTCGTACACATATAATAAAAATAAATAAAAAGTTAAACAATGCAGATGTAAGAAGTTACCTTTTAATCAAACTATAATTCAAACACCTGGACTGAGAATCCCATAGCCAGGAGCAGATTCCAGCCTCGAATTTCCTTCACCCCTCTTTGAATTTTGAAAAGTTTCATATTACCAGGAAAATGATACAGACCACTGTACATTCATATTTTGCCTTTGTTGGGGGGAATTTTGTGGCCTATCTTCTTTTCAGGACTGGAAGTATCCATGTGCAGGATCAAGAGAGTTCGCAGGGCTTGAAGAGGAGGTTCTGTAGCTCATAGTTCCCTTTCTTCCTAGCTGAGAGTTAAGAAAGAAGTAGCCAGGAAGCCATGAGAACAATATGACTTTTGTTTCTGCTGAGTCTTATTTTAAAGACATTATTTAGTGTATCATTCTTTTTATCACCCATCCCCACACATTGCATACACACATGCACATACACATGCACGCATATGTGCAGATACACCTAGTGGGCTTGTGGAATACTAATCATTGGAAGGCTTTAGGTGATTTTATTATTCTGGTCCTATTTGTGGTATTAAAGTAGAGACCACAGCCATATCTTCAGCAGGGAAGAGGGCCAAAGACACTTCCCTATGCTTCCTAAATCAGTGCTCTCCCCCCACTAAACCAACAATCAAATGTTACTGGTACCACTGGTGAAGAAGCCAGTGGCACTTAGGGGAAATAATTTCTTTCTTTTTCCTTTCTTTCTTTCTTTCTTTCTTTCTTTCTTTCTTTCTTTCTTTCTTTCTTTCTTTCTTTCTTTCTTTCTTTTTTGTACTACTGAGACATGGTCTTAAGATGTAGCTCTAGTTTCCCTGGAGCTCGCTATATAGACCAGGCTGATCTCAAACTCACAGCTCACAGGGATCTGCCTGCTTCTGCTTTGTGATTACTGGGATTAAGTGTATATACCACCACACCCAGCTGGGAAATCATTTTCTTTTTAGAAAATATTTTATTTATTATTTTTATTTATGTGTGTGAAGGTATTGCCTGCATGTGTGTAAGTGCACCCATGTCATGCAACACCCTCAGAGGTCAGAAGAGGGCGTTAGATCCCCTGAAACTGGAGTTGTGGATGGTTGCTAGTTACCGTCTGGATGCTGGAATTTGAACCGTTCTTTTGCAAGAGCAGCCAGAGGTCTGAACTACTGAGTCATCTCTCCAGCCCTGGGAAACCATTTCTTATGGGAACCAGACCTTGAGCACATTCTCCTCACCCATACCTTCCTATGCTCCCTTTTCTCCCCTGTCCCCTCGCTAGTCTCCTTTGTTGCCCTAGGCAGAATCACTTCTACTTCTGTGTCATAAAGAAACACATAACTCTGGATCTATATAAAAGCAGTAGCCACAAATGAGAGGAAGCATACAATTTTTGATATTTGTCTGAGACTTGCTTGAATATACTTGTATGAGAGTGTCATTAAGTGTGTAACACAGTACAATGTACAATGAGTGTGCATATTGGAAATCTATAACGAGAATGAAACAAAAAGAAAAAGCCCTAACTTTGCTTATTTTAATCGGTTAGTCCACAGATTTTACATCCTGAGGGCAACAACTTGGCTCAGGCTTGGGCTGAGGAGCACTTTCCCGTGTCTGTGTTCTTAGCAACAAAATGAACTGAGACCGAGTTAAAACTGTGACTTATTTTGTTATTCTCACTTTAAAAGTTCGGTATTGTATGTTTTTTGTTCACTTGCTGTAATTTTATAGTGTTCAGATATAGTTTAGGAGCCCGAGTAAAAATATCTTTTATTTGTGCCATGTTTTACAGTGTCGAAAATGCATTTAAAATGATGTCTTTAGATACTTCCAGACAGCCTGTGAAGTAGCCGGAGTCTATTCATTTCACAGATGAGGGAACTAGCACTCGGTGGCTCCTTTGCTCACTTAGGCTCTTGAAGTTTGCAAGGAGGATAACTAGAACCCCAGGGCGGCTTCTCCAAGGTGCTGTCCATCTATTCCGAGGCTTTAGGATGTGATTATATTGAGGATTCACATATCTGACTGGTAGAAATTAAATTTTCCTTCTTTTCTGTAGGAATCTTATGCCCTGCTTAACAAGTACGGACTTCTGGTAGCGAAGGAAGAGATGGACAAAGTTGACACTCTGCGGTATACTTGGGAAAAGCTGCTGGCCCGTGCTGGTGCAGTTCAGAACGAACTAGTCTCCCTGCAGCCCAGTTTCCGGAAAGAGCTGATTAGCACTGTGGAGGTCTTCCTCCAGGACTGTCACCAGTTTTGTCAGGATTATGATTTGGTACGACTCTGTCTTTCTCAGTTATGTTTTTAGTGAATGGGATACACCAAATGTACTTGTTTAAAGTTTATGTGCTAAATTCCATAACATTTCCCAGGAATAGGAATTTCATTAAGAGAGCAAACATATTTCTCTTTTACAATCCCTTTCCTTAAGAGTTAATCTAGCATATAATCTCAGTACGAAATGTTCTGAAGTTGTTTAATAGATAAATTCAAGGATAGCATGGGATACAGTGTGACCTTATCAGAAACAAAAACAGAAGCTCTACGTTTGTATAGAATGATGCTTTTCAAACCCAAATACTCTTCTGCCTTTCCATAGCCTTTCTTGATTCTTCAGCTGGTTTCAGGCCCTGTGCTTTGTACTGAAGGCACAGTGGTGGACAAGACAGATGGAGCTTTGCTCCCACGGTGTCCATATTTCAATCATGTATATGGGTTTAGTACAAAACCATGTGGTGGAAATGTGTTGTGTAATGAGCTCCATTGCTGACCAATTATAATGTGCCACAGAAAGGAAATATGTAAGTACAGGGTAAATTTTGAGCCTATTAGGTAGTGGTATCCCAGACTGCAAAACTAAGAGGCTGGGTCCATGTACCCACTTCATGGACCTCCATGGATGAAGAAATATCCAAACCAACTTATTTGAAAGTTCCATGATATAGGAAAACCCAGCTGGAATGCAGAAATTATGCTTTGTTTTCCAAATAGATGTAAGAGTCGTAAAATCAGTGAGTCAATGATACTGGTGGTTTTGTTCAAAACCAGAAGTAAATATTCTTGCAGTAAAACGATTGGTCCTTTTTTTGCTGGTATCACCTAAGAAGTGAGAATATAAAGATATAAGAAGTCCAAGGCTTCTTGAACTGTATAAATTGTGCCTTACCTTGACTTTATTTGACTGGAAACATATTTCCAAGTGAATTTCACTTTGAGTTCCTTTTGCAAATAATAATAATAATAATAAAGCTTCCCATCATGTATATGAGATGCATGGAGACTAAGTTTGATATCCCAATATGCTGAGCTCATGAAACTTGTAGGCCAACACTTCATTTTCTTTTATGTCTAACTCTTTCCTTCAGAATGGTCCAATGGCTAGTGGTTTGAAGCCCCAGGAAGCCAGTGATAGGCTTATCATGTTTCAGGTAATGTTTTAAATTTCTGTGAACTTCCTAAACAGTAAATACCTTATTGTATTTTAAACACACGTAAAGGATTTAAAAGGATATTCTAATTATGTACTTCCATTTTTAAAAAGTATGATTTGCTGTGGCTATAATTAGAAATATATTCTGAGAATTAATTATATCTACTTAATAAATATTGTTATTTACATGTTCCCAGAGCTCATGAATTCTTGATTGTTTGCCAGTCTATTAGTTTATGTGTAAATCATTCTGATGAGCCTTCATTTATGTGTTTTATCAGAATCAATTTGATAATATTTATCGTAAATATATCACCTACACTGGAGGAGAGGAACTTTTTGGTTTGCCAGTTACACAGTACCCTCAGCTTCTAGAGATAAAGAAACAACTAAATCTTCTACAGAAAATATACAGCCTGTACAATAATGTCATAGAAAGTGTAAATAGTTATCAAGATATCCTTTGGTCAGAAGTGAATATTGAAAAAATCAACAGTGAACTCTTGGAATTCCAAAACAGGTGAGAAATCAAATGTTTAGTGTCCCCAGAGCCTTGGGCCTCACGCGGTTCATTTTCTCTTATTCACTTATTTACTTTAATTCTTTCTATTTAGTTTTAGTTCTTTATTTTCTGTATGTATGTGAGTGTGAGCTCCTGTGCACATGAGATGGCAGTCAGAGGTCAATGTTTGTGGCTTCCTCTATCTCCCTTTTTCGAGACAGGGCCTCTCACTGAACATGGGAACTTGGTGATTAGCTAGACTGACTAGCAAGTATATTTCTGGGATCCTCTGTCTCTGCCTCCACAGCCTTCAGATGACAGATGTGGGCTGTCATGCCTGGCTTTTTATGTTGGTTCTGGAGACCTGAACTCAGGTTTCATGTTTGCTATGTAAGCACTTTGTCCACTGAGTCTTCTCCCCACACAACATGACTTATTCATGAAAAGTATTTTTGAGAATTTCCTATATGAGTACTGTATTTACATCATTTCCCTCCCTCCTTTTCTCCCTCCAACACCTTTCATGTCTCCCCCACTCTCTGTCAAATTCATGACCTTTTTGTCTTGAATTATTTTTGTTATATACACATATACATATGTGTGTATAAATATATATAAACCTACTGAGTCTATTTGGTTTTGCTCATATGTACGTGTTGCCTCGGTCTGATCACTTGGGATTGGATAACCTGTCAGGGAGCTCCTCTCTGGGGAAACACATTCTCTCTCTCTCAGTAGCCATTGATCATCCATAGCTGGGGTGAGGCTTTGAGAAATTTCCTCCATCAGTTGGCATGTCAACTGATGTTGTCACTATGCAAGTCTTGTTTAGGCAACATATTGTTGAGATTTCAGGGGTGTAGTAGCTCTGTCATGTTTAGAAGCTACTATCTAGCACCAGACATCCTGGTCCTCTGACTGTTACAATCTTCCTGCCCCTTCTGTGTTCCCTGAGCTTAGGTGTAGGGGTCACATTGTAGATGTATCACTCGAGGGTGGACACAGCACAGTCAATGATTCTTTGCATTTTCACCAGTTATAGAACTTTGTAATAGTCTTTATCTGCTGCAAAAGAAACTTCTTTGATAAGTGATGAGAGCTACATTTATCTGTGGATACGAGAACATGTGTTTAGAATATAGTAAGAAATTATTTTGGTTTAGGAAAGTTATGGTAGTAGGTTTTCCTTTACAGTATGATTTTCTAGCCATGGGTGGTTGTCTAGGTTTATAGTATCAGGCATGAATTTCCTCCTACTGAGTGGGCTTTAAATCCAATTAGACAGCTATTGGTTATGCCCAAGATAATAGTACTATTGTTGCATCACTGGGGACATCTTGCCATGTTGGTCACGATTGTGGTCCATAGGTTCTACAGCTTGGCAGGACTATCTATTGCTTTTCTCTCTTGGCAGCTTGTTTAACACCTTAAGATACTATTAGAGTTAGTCCTCAGAGAGGAGACTTCTAGGTCGGTTCCAGTTTGGTTCCTCTAAGTCCCGTGTTCAAAGTGTGTGTTGTCCTCATCTGCAGGGTCTTACCTTCATGAGAGGCAACCAAGGGCAATACCAATAGCTTACATTGTTTTGGGAGTCCCTTGGATTACACTTACCAAAAACTCTTAAGGGAAGTTTCCCCTGTCTGGCATTGGAGTTTTTGTTAAGTAGTCTAGGGTTCTTGGGAGGCATGTTATCACCATGTGTGGCACAACTCCTTTTAAATTACACACACACACACACACACACACACACACACACACATACAGACACACACACCCTTCCTTCCTCTCTCTCACTGTATTACCCTCTATATCCCTTCCGCTGTTAAGGTCTGTTCTGTTTTTCCCATTTCCCCCTTCATAGAATCTGTGCCCTACTGTTTCCCTCTCTGGAGCTCCTTCTCCCCCATACCCCCATGGTCTTGTTCTACTTTCTGGCTTCTGCAATTCCTCAGGTTATATACTTAGATCTAAAGATTTGGAGCTAGGATCCACAAATAAGAGAGAACATGCAGTGTTTGTCTTTCTGGGTTTGGGTTACCATACTCTATAATACTTTCCAGTTCTATCCATTTACCTGCAAATTGCATGATTTCATCTTTCTTTACAGCTGACTAGAACTCTGTTCTGTAAATGTACCACATTTTCATTATCCAGTCATCAGTTGAAGAACTTTTAGATGGTTTCTATTTCCTATATATTGTGAGAGCAGCAACAAGCATGACACAACAAACATGGGTGAGACATGGAGTCCTTTGGGTGTATGCCAAGGAGTGGTGTATCTGAGTCATATGGAGATCTACTTTTAGCTTTCTGAGCATTCTGCATGCTGATTTCCTTAGTGGCTGCACCAGTTTGCAATCCTACTAGCAGAGAATGAGGGCTCCCCTGTCCTCACAGCCTCACCAGCATTTGTTGTCAGTTGTTGTTGATCCTGGTCATTTTGAGTGGAGTAAGATAAAATATCCATGTAGTTTTAATTTGATTTCCCTAATTGTGCATAATTTTGAGTACCTTTAAACACAGTTCTTGGCCATTTTTATTTCTTCTTTTGAGAATCCTCTGTTCAGATTTGTAGCCCATAGTTTAGTAGGGTCACTTTCTGGATTCTTTGTTTTTTTTGAGCTCTTTGTATATTATGGAAATTAATCTGCTATGGAATGTAGAGCTGGCAAAGATTCTCTCCCACTCTGTGGACTTCCTCTTCACTGGAGGATTGTTTCCTTTACTGTTAAGGAGCCTTTTAGTTTAATGAGGTCTCATTTTTTCAACTGCTAACCAGAATTCCTAGGTGAATGGAGTCTGATTTAGAAAGTTCTTTTCTACACCTATGTCTCCTGGGGTACCCATGTTTTCTTCTAACAGTTTCAGTATTTCAAGTCTCACATTTAGGTCTTTGATCCATTTGGAGTTGATTTCTGTTCAGGGTGATGCTGGTCTAATGTCATCCTTCTGCACATGGACACTCAGTTTCCTCAGCATCATTTGTTGAAGATGCTGACTTTTCTTCAGCATTTATTTTTGGTGTCTTTGTCAAATATGAGATAGTTGCAATTATGAGCACTCATACTTGGTTCTATTTTGTTCCGTTGATTTACATATCAGTTTTTGTGCCAGTACCATGCTGTTTTTATTACTTTAGCTCTGTAATGTAGCTTGAAATATGGTCTGTTAATCCATCCAGCATTGTTCTTTGTGCTAGGATTGTTTGGCTGTCTGGAGTCCTTTGTGTTTCCATATGAGTTTCATTGTTTTTTTTTCTTTTTTAAATTTCAGTGAATAATGTCATGTGGATCTTGATTGGGATTGCATTAATCTGTAATTGCTTTGATAGGATGGCCATTTTTACAGTATTAGTTCTATTAATCCATGAGCATGGAGGTCTTCCCATCTTCTAGTATCTTCTTCATTTTCTTTCTTCAAGACTTAAAGTTTTCTTTGGATAGGACTTTCATCTCCATGGTAATGTTTATTTCTAGATATTTTATTTTTGAGACTGCTGTCAATGGGAGTGTTCCCATGCTCTCTTTGTCTGCTTGTTACTGATATATAAAAAGGCTACTGATTTTCATAAGTTGATTTTATGGCTTGTCACCTTCCAAGTGACTTATTTTGATAGGCTTCCAAATTCTCTTTTCACTTGAGTTGTTTCCAAAGCATCTCTTGCACATTTTGCCACCTTGCTTTTGTCCAGTGATGTCACCTTGTGAAATGTCCTTTTACTATTTCCTCTGTGTATGAGGTGAAAGAATCACTTCCTATAAAGCTGGATGAGTTACAAGGGCCTTTCCCAAGGTTTGAAAAAACCTGATTTTGTTTGTATCATATTAAAAAAAAAATTGAACTGTAGTTAGGTAGTTTCCCAAAATAAAAACAAGACCTCATCAGTTTTCAACATAGTTTTAAGAGCTGAGCTGAAGGAAAAGTAGAAGGACATTTGCTGTGCACAAGCAGACAGCTCGATGTGTTATGCTGTGCTGTGTACCTGGTAAGGTTCAATCTATGTTCATAGAGTTGAAATGAATTGAAAGGTACCTCTCATTCTTTAAAATAATTCTTCCCCTTAGGGAATTGTCATGGAAGATTAAAAAAAAACTTCCCTGATTTAGAGAAAGATTTTTCTGTGGTATGTGCCAATATATTATTTTAATATATAGTTTCTGAGTCCTGAGATTTCAAAATGAGATACCATTTGAGTTTATTTTTGCTGGTGTTGTTAGCAGACCATTTTGCACTAGCAGTGTCTGGGCTCATATCGGAAGTTCTTTCCTGTTGTCTGCCTTCCACAGGTGTCGGAAGCTGCCCCGGGCACTGAAGGACTGGCAGGCCTTTCTGGACTTGAAGAAGACCATTGATGATTTCAGCGAGTGCTGTCCACTGCTGGAGTACATGACCAGTAAAGCCATGATGGAGAGGCACTGGCAGAGGATAGCGGTTGTCACTGGGCACAGTCTGGATGTGGGCAATGAAACCTTTAAGTTAAGAAATGTCATGGAGGCCCCTCTTCTGAAATACAAAGAGGAAATAGAGGTACAGACCATAGACAGTATGATGCGGTACAATCCGTGCCTGGCATTCATCCACTAATTCCTCATTTAATGAGTGCCTTTTGCAGAATGGTTCTATGCTAGCATTCATAGATGGTTAAATAATGAGTATAATTAGTCATGCAAATGAAGGCATAGTTATAAAGCTGTAGCAAATAGCACTGAAGGAAAAGGATGTTGCTGTAGGAGAGCCTGTGACAAAGGGTGTGTTTATATGGTGTGCGTGTGTGGTAAAGCTATCTGGATGAAGGGGGTGTGGTTGTGTGATAGAGATGAGGTGCTTTGAACTTGCAAAGGAGACTGTTCCAGGCAGGGAGCACATCATGTGTAAACTGTATTGAAGGAATCACTTGATGGCTATGTGGCCCGTTGCATGTATGTGGAGACAGAGGAGATGGTCAAGTCCAGGGAAGTAGAGTGTGTAGACAATGTCATTGATTTTTATCTTCAGAGCAACGCAGAGCACCTGAGAGATGTATTTTCATCAGGGTAGCATAGTTAGGTTTGCATTTTTTGGAAGATGAGCCTGATAGTCATATGCAGAAAGATCTGGATGAGGTGTAGATGTGAAAACCAACCAAGAGACTAGCTCTAAGAATAGTGCAGGGACGAGGGAACGGTTTGACAGAGAGGGGAGTCATGAAGCCAAAGAGGAAAGAAAAGACCCAAGGAATTTTTAGGGAGTAAATCTGGACAGAATTTGTTGATGGGGAGGCAGGGAGTATGCTGGGAAAAAGATGTGGGAGGGGCCAAGGATGAGCTGTGGATTTCTTGCTGAGAGGAATGTATGGTTGTTTAACTTATCACAGAGACAGGCAATGTTGAAAGGGGTCAGATTGGGTGGCCAGCTATGATCATGAGCTTGACTGTGCACAGGAGTTTGATTCTCCACAGGCTGGGCTTGTGGTTCCCTTGAAATGTCCAAACAGGAAGCTCCAGAGGCAAACTGACATGGGTCTTGCCTAAAGATACAACAGGTTACTGAATGCGTGGCCTCGCCCAGAAAAGGAACGCAGGGAGAAGGGATGAAGGTGAAGACTGGGAAGACTGGGAAAGTGGCTGGAGAGTAGGGAAGACATCTAGTTTCTGCTAATTCCCCCTCACACTGCATCCATTGACCTGACAGGAAAATCAGACGCAGTGAATCCTCAGCTTGTATTACATTTCAAAAATTAAAAGATTGTTAATTCTTCTCTGTCATTTTTTGACATGGGTGGAAAAGTTTTATAAATTAAGATTCTATTTAGATACGCTTTTATGTTCCTCTTCTTACATTTATATCTACATATTCACACCATTTGTTGTATTGCATTTGCCATCTGGAAACACATGCTTTAGATTCACATGCAGTGAATGATGGAGATAGGAGCTCTTCTGAACCTAGACTATTAATAAGATGTGTGACTTTGGTGGGATAAAATGAGAGTTTACTGTGTTGATAGGACATCTGTATCAGTGCAGTGAAAGAGAGAGACATTGAACAGAAGCTGAAGCAAGTGATCAATGAATGGGACACAAAAATGTTCGCATTCGGCAGCTTTAAGACCCGCGGAGAACTGCTCCTGCGAGGAGACAGTACCTCGGAAATCATCACCAGCATGGAGGACAGCTTGATGCTGCTGGGCTCTCTCCTGAGCAGCAGGTGAGAGAACCGTTGTCATTTCCCTTATCCTTGAGGTCTATAACAATGAACATTCCAAGGGAGATTCATAAAACATTCTGGGCTGGAGAGGTGGCTCAGTGTGGTGGTGTGATGTTACAGTATGGTGATGTCTGAACAAAGATAGCTTGACTTTTTGCATTCATTAATACCAAGAGTGGGACCTGATCTGTTCTGAGAACCTGTTCCTTCAGATTTCTCTCTGAACTGTGTTCTCAAGTGAAGGCCTTCATCTCACTTTATTAAAACAGCACATTCAGCACGATATGGAGAAGGACAAAGAACCTTATCTTCTCAGAAGGATTTGAGATAATGTTAAATGATCTCAAAACATAGGATTAACTCTGGTTGCAAGGTCATGTAAGATTCCAGAAAAGCCATTCCTACAGTTCCCCCTTCTTTGTTTTATAATAGAAGAAGGATGTTCTTATTTAACAGAAGGCATTTCCCAGAAAAATCATTCTTATAGTTCAGTGGTTAAGAGTACTTGTTGTTTTTACAGAGGACCCAAGTTCAGGTCCCAACATTCACATGGCAGCTCACAACTGCCTGTAACTCCATTTCCAGGGGATCCGGCACCTTCTTATGGCACCGGGCATGCATGTGATAAACATACAGCCATTTGGGCAACATACACATAAAACTGAAAAAAAAAACCTTTAACATTTGTTGTATCAGCACACTTCCTGTAAGCATTCAGTGTAAAAAAAATACTTATTTTACTTTAGCCTTTGGCAAAATATGCATAACAGTCATTTTATTCCATTGTTCTCTGTCTGTGGGATGTGGCTGAGGCCTTCAATTGGACAGAATGCCACATGTAATTGGCCCTGTGGATCTTGCTGAACATTTTATCTTTGCTGCTGCCAAGCCTCACTACACAGCTGGCAGTGTGGTGGGCTCCAGACTACAGTGGGAGTGCTACTCTGAATTCGAGAATAATCATTTTATTTGGAAAACATTTTTTTTTTTTTTGCCAAATGTATGATCTAGAAACACTTAGCTCTGTGCATGCTTTAATAATAAAAGATCAAGACCAAGAATGAACTTAGCTCCTACACAGGAATAATTTGGCACAGACAGACACCAGGCTGATACTTCTGTCTGGCCATTTGATATGAACAGTAAAGCAATCACCTTTTGGACATGGAAACCATAGACTCATGTTTTCCAGTGAACTTCTCCTTGTTGTATGGCTACCATTGGGACAAGAATTTATTGTGTTTTTCCAGCTTTAATATATCACCCCATTCAGTATGAATATATCAGGATCTTGTTGTTTGTTTGTTTTTGAGACAGGATCTTGCTATGTACCTCAGGATGGCCTTGAACTCATGATCCTCCTGTCAGTGCTCCTGAATGTTGGAATTGCAGGCATTTAGTACCTGTATATAAATAATTTAAATATAGGAATTACTACCTATTTAATATTTTATTGATTAAAATTATTTTTTTATTTACTTAGTACATCTAATTGGATGATATGGGATCTAAAATTTAGTGTTAGAGATTAGACCCTAATAATACTGAGTTTGGACTGCTCAGGATTTGGCAAATATTTAATTAACTTGGTCATTATTCATACCTAACTAGAATGAAGATTATTTGAATGCTCACATACCTAGAGAGATAGAAAGGACACATAAAGATCAAGTAAAGATTATCTGTGTTAGAAATGGAGAAGTTTTTTTTTTTTTTTAGCCAGTAACAGCTACCCCACAGAGTTGTTTGAGAAACATTTATTCAACATATATTTGTTGATCACTCATTTTCAGCCATGTGCTTAACGATGTACTATGAGTTCACTAATGAATAAAATAAAGACTTTTGTTTCTGTGAAACTATATTCTAATGAAGAACATAAAATCTGAGAAAAAATTGGAATAGTAACATGATTTGACCAGTATGAATATGGAATCTATAGTATTTATCCACCAATATAACTAATAAATGATTTAATCAACCTTCATATTATATAGGTCTAGAGATCAGAAAGGAACATGAATGCTTATCTTCATGTAACGAAAGTATCACATATACAATTTCTCATACAAGACTGAAGGTTGTATCTCTCATGTAAACATCCCAAGGTAGATGATTCCATTTTGAAGGGGCCTAATCTTTGGCCCACTCTTCTGTCTCTTGCAGCGTGCCTTCATTCTCCTCAGTGCTTCTCACATCCAACATAGAAGAGTGCTTTTCAATCTAGATACACACCGCATAAACCCAGGGAAATGAAAAATCCCAGTACTTGGGTCACTTCCCAGACCCATGAGATCCAGGCAGACATCAGTAATTTTTAATTTTTCTACTATTCCAGTGGACAGCCAAGATCAAGAAGTAATGATGTGGCGCAATTACCCAGGAGCCCGCATTGCTGAAAAGGAGGCTGGAGAACAGTTAGGAGCCCATGTAGAACTAGGGCTCTATATAAAGAGGGATAATGAAGTCTCTGACTCAGGAGGAAAGAGAGGAGACAGTTTAAGTTTGGGGAAGGAAGTTTTAACGTATTTAAAATTTTAATTTTACATTTTAAATATTTACATAAAGTTTTGCACGCACATATATCCAAGCATGAATGGTGGTAGGTAACAAACTTGAAAGAGACACAGCAGAAAAAGGCTAAGGAAAGAAAGCCCAGGTGTTAATGTAGGGACCATGCACTGGTCATCTGGTCTCCACTGATGGTTCTGGGATTGCTATGAGTGAATGAAAACCCAGAATCCTGTGGACAGGCACAGAACCTCAGCAGAGGGAATGCTATTTTCTTGTTTCTAGTAACACTGACTTGAATTTTATTGCTCTGGAAGCTGGGTGACATCAAGTCTCAGGCCTGGCTTATTCCTTAGATTATGAGTCACTCATTGTTCCCCATACTCTAAATCAAAACAGAAATCTAGACTAAAAATGCCCAGTAACTGGCAACAAAATAATCATTTAGTGGCACCACTTTATTTTGTTTAAATTTTTTCATATTTTAGTTATTATTTTTATCTTATGTGTGTGTGTGTGTGTGTGTGTGTGTGTGTGTGTGTGTGTTGCCTGAGTGTAGGTAAGTGCACTGTGTTGTGCAATGTCCACCGAGAACATAAGAGGCTGTTGGATCTCGTGGGACTGGAGTTACGGACAGTTGTTAGCTGCCATGTGGGTGCTGGGATTCGAACCCAGGTCTTCTGCAAGAACAACCAGTGTTCTTAACCACTGAGCCATCTCTCCAGCCTCAGTAGCACCATTTTAAAGTGACAGCCATACAGTAAAAGCTTTTTTTTTTTTTAAATAGGCGAAAACCAACCAACCAACCAACAAACCAAAGATTTTTTTAAACAACAAAAGCAAAATAGCTGACTGTGTTTCTTATTTTAGGTACAATATGCCATTCAAAGCTCAGATTCAAAAATGGGTGCAGTGCCTTTCCAACTCAACAGACATCATTGAGAACTGGATGACAGTACAAAACTTGTGGATCTATCTAGAAGCTGTCTTTGTGGGAGGAGACATCGCCAAGCAGCTGCCCAAGGTTTGAGAAATTTCTTTGTAATTTCATGAGGTTTTTCAATTAGAGAAATCCCCAAGGAGCAAATAACCCCTGAAAGAAAGCAATAATATGTAATCTCTGTTGACCTCCTCTCCCAGGACTTTTGTTTGCCTGACTGATGCAGTTGTTTTTTCAAAGGCAGTGAAGCATTGTGGAAAGGAAAAAGGTGATTATTAGAGTGTAAAAATGCTGTGAAACTGTAGTGTCTGATAGAAACAGAGGTTAAAGGAAACAAAGAATAAATTTCTGCATAACTGATAAGTTTCTTCAGATAATTTGAAAGTAGAGGTTGGAACAGTGTAGATTTATGGCATAGTTATCCTGACAACGGTAGGATAATTTGTTCTTTTACTAGTGACATTTTAAAATGATGCACAGTATATACAATATACCCAATTATATCTGTACTATAAAATTGAGGGTTGGAAACCTTCAGGAAAAGAGCTCCAAACAAAAAGGCCTTCTCCTTAAACTCAAGTGTATTATTCTCATTAAACTGCATTTATCTTGCTATGCATACATGTTTTGAGATTTTAAAAGATATTTTTTTCCTAAACCTCAAAAACTCTTCTTGAATTAGCTTAAGTTTCCTGTTAGGTTAGAACATTTAACAATATATTTGAGTTGTAGAAAAATGATTGTGTTGACTGTTCTTTTCACTTAGGTCTCATAACTTTCTTCTAGGTTAGTTTTAGTTAGATTGAAGAAGACAGATCTGTTAGCCAGTTGTAAGGCAGACCATTTATCTTTCAGTCAACAGGAAATGTATATCACACATTAAAGTTTTAAGTATTCATTTACACATTTTTGGTTTTATCTTTGTGCGTGTTTTTCTTTTTGATGGGTTGAAAAGAACCCAAGACTGACTTAAAATGGAAATATTCACAGACAATATTTAAGGATAAACTGAAAGTTTTTGCTGTCGTGTTGCAGTATGTAATCATTAGTACATAGAAACTTTTTTTTGAACAATTTTAAACTTTATTAAATAAAAACTACATAAACACAACTGTAAGATAAGAAAATAAGAAAATAAAGAAAAAGTTAAATACAAACTATCATATGTAGATTATTGTATAATTGGCAATATCAACACTAAATACTAAACCCCCACTTCCACAATGGGAATGAGGTATAGGAATATTATTGAAGTATAAAATGCAAAATTTCAATTTAATATATACCAAAAAATTTATGAAAAAAAAATAGTATTTCTTTGAATAAACAGTTCAGTACAGCTGTTACAAGGCTGAAGTTTAGAGTCAAATGGACATTTAGCATTACAATTACTTCAAATCAAATTCCAAGAATAAGACACCAAAAATAATGTCTGTAGATGGCTGTGACACCTAACACTCCCGGACAGCCAGTCTCTTGGCCACAGTTTCACAATATGTGGTTGTCTTGTACTGTGTGATGCTTCTGAAAAGTATCAGCCTGTAACAGTCATTTTAATTTCTTTTACTATTTTTAAGCTTTAAAAAAAAGCTCCCCGAACACTTCAATTTGGCAGGTACAGCTTCAGCACTGGGCTAATGAACACTTCTTCCCTCCTCCCACTGATGTCCATCCTGGTCCTCAGCAGAGACTGACACTTTGATGGGCACTCCTTTCAGGAATAAAAAGTTCAAACAACTAAGAGTTGATAGTTGAACATTGAAAAATGGTGACTGCCAAGGTTTGCAAAAGAGTTAGTGAAATCATATAAACAATCACAGTGGAGGAGGGTGACAAAAACAATTCATAGAATAAATCTAGCATTTTCCAGATCCATGCAGAAATAACTGCTTAAAGCAACATATTTGTGAGCATGCATTCTGGTGCGGATTGAACAGCTTCTAAGCTCAAAGTAGTTACATGCATCTTAACAGACAGCATTAGGAGTAACTTTCTCATGCCCCAAGATAGGATTATATTGAGGAGACAGGGGGCTTCATCCTGGTTCAAATGCCTTCAATCCATCCTGCCTGAGCTAGGTAGGAACATTGACAGAAAGGCAGAGTTGCCAATCAGGTGGATGTTGTTACAGCAAGAGCCTATGCAACACCTCCCATACCATCCTCTTCCTGAAGACAGGCATGTGTTGCTGAGAAAAGGTTAGAGGTTGATCCCGAGAGATATAATCTGCATATTTACAAGTGAACATTCCACAGTCACTCCCGTTCATCTGTTGAGGGATTTCCTCTGCTGTCATGCTAAATTGCTTCCACTCCAAAGGGTTCAGATCAATATTCCTCCGAGTTTTGCTCTCATTTTGCAAATATTGGAAAATTATTTTGCAGATACTCTCTCCTTTCTGTCCCATTGAATCCAAGTATACAATGCTCTTTTTTCTGAGGTCTATGACCACCAGGCTCCAATGCACCTTCCGATGAATAGGTACCAGAATCAGTTCTTTTGCAAAGAGATTTACTCCCCGAGTCCATCTTTTGACAGAACTATAACCCCCATACTTTAATTTGGGGTAAAAAAAAGTGTTAAACACATGAAGTTCTGGATAGCCTTGACTTTGACTTCTTTCCACTAGAAGATTCATGTAGAAGTTAATAACTTCATCGTTGAGCCATTGACCATCCTCCAGTGTCTGGATGTCTCTTCGAGTAATTTGCAATTTGAATGCACTACTTAGGATTTCGTCTTGTGGCCCTGGGCCTAGTGCATCACTGATTTCCTTCTCCATGTCCTCTGTAACATCAAGGACATCATCATTCACTGCTCTGCCCTTTTCCTGGTCTGCAAGGGGCTCTTCCTCTGTTTCAGGTATTGACATTTTGTTGGTAAGTAGGCCATTGCTATCTCCAGCCAGAAAGATTTGGGCTGGAGCTCCCCACAGTAAGTCAGGAGCCAAGTGCTGTCTACTCTTTTCTTCA